GAAATGTCAGCATATTAAAGCAATATCTTCTGCTATTAAAATCTTATAAAAGGAAGCTAATAGTTTTGATTTTAAATGTAAATCAATAATAAGAACAACAGTGAGTGAATGGGACTTTTGCAATAGCTGCCACTTCCATGGTGTATTCATAAGGCAATTCTGGAACTATCTCTATGGGTAATCAATATACACAATAATGAGGTTGGTTATGTAGCTGTTATAGGCATTACTTACTGGCAAAATGAAAGTACATCTCTTTGGGATATTGATTATGCCATTAGCATATATACAGTTCAGAGCTCTGTACCCTTGATTCGGCAAATATTCATAAATAACGCAGCTTTGGAACAATGGATTCTATCCAACAAGAGAATTGATAGGAAGCTCTATTTTACAGAATGACAAAGCCTGCAAAACACACTGCAACAAACAATGTGATAAATGTCAATGACAAAAACTGTCGATGATACTGAAGGGATACAGAAGAAAAATCTGGTGTCTCTCCTTGTGACTCAGTGCATTTTGGCACAGTGTATTAAGCCGCTACCTGTAATATTTTAAATGGGATGCCTATGATAGGGAATGCATTGAAAATGAGTCAGGCGCTCGAACCCCTCACATCCATGAGGATGTGTTCAGGCTTCTGGCTTTGGCCAGACCCAACCTTGACTTCTTCAGCTATTTGGTGAGCGACCCAGCTGATGAAAGATCTCATTCTCTCTCTCTCTCTCTCTCTCTCTCTCTCTCTCTCTCTCACTCATTGTCTTTGCCCTCAAAAGCAGTAAATATGTAAAAGAAAAGAGAGGAAGGAAAGAAGAAAGGAAGGAAGGAAGGAAGGAAGGCAGGAAGGAAGGAAGGAAGGAAGGAAGGGAGGGAGGGAAGGGGAGAGAGAGAGAGAGAGGAAGAAAGAAAGAAAGAAAGAAAGAAAGAAAGAAAGAAAGAAAGAAAGAAAGAAAGAAAGAAAGAAAGAAAGAAAGAAAGAAAGGAAGAAAGGAAGAAAGGAAGAAAGAAAGAAAGAAAAGAAAAGAAAAATAAATAAATAAATGAATAAATAAAGGAAGGGAAGGAGGAAGGAGGAAGGGAGGCAAGGCAGGAAGAAAGGAAAAGAAAGAGAGTAAGAAAGAAAAACTGAATAGATCAGCAACCTAGAGGTGCAGTGAGAGATCTGAGGAAGAGCTCCAGCCTCCAACAGATCCAGAGGCATCCCTGGTGCACCGGAGGAAATGATGGAGGTGGGATCGGGCAAAGTGTCCTTTCTAGACATTCACCAATTTGAGTGGCTGAGTAGTTCACCTTTGTATTCACTTCTCTACTTGTTGGGGAAAATGTCTATTGTAACACACTTCTAGACACTTGGCCAAGTAAATGTAATGCTTTACCAGCCAACTGCCACGAACTACATGATGCACACCGTGTACAGTTTCCCTCTGAAGTAAATGAACAGATGACTGCGATGCTCTCTCATAAGCCCAGGCTACACAAGTGCTCAGTTTTCTTCACTGTCCCAGCCTCCTTCTTCCCTTTTCCTTTATCCCATTCATCTCACTCAATCCATAGTTTTCAGTTCTAAGTGGTTTTCCCAATGTCCTAAATACCAAAGGCACCCACTTAATTCACAGAAATGTGCAACTGATGAAAATTGTCTCCTGGTGAAATTGTCTACATCTCAACCATGATGTTACAATTTGGATTCTCAAGCCCAGTGTGATAGCCTAGTGGCCATATCCTGGCCTTGCACATGCCAGAATCCCATATGGGAGCTGGCTTGTGCCCTGGCTGCCCCACTTCCCATCCAGCTCCCTGCCTGTAGCATGGGAAATAGTAGAGAACGGGCCAAGGCCTTGAGACCTTGCACCCACATGGGAGACCCAGAGGAAGTTCTTGGCTCCTGGCTTCAGATCAGCTTAGCTCTGGCCATTAACCACTAGGGGAGCAAACCAGTGGATGGAAGATATTTCTTTCTGTCTCTCCTTCTCTTTGTAAATCTCACTTTCCAATAAAAATAAATAAAACAAACAAACAAACAAAAAAAAGAATCTGAATACTCCCCAGCCATAGGCAACCGTTAGGTTGCCTTATACCAATGCAAGTGTTTTAATGCTGGGAGAAAAGCAGCCAAAAGCTGGTGGGCCCTCTGGTTCCGGCTAATGCCAAATTTGTGTTAGCTATGCTAGTGTACCAAAATAGTCACAATATCTAATTTGTTTTTAAGATATATGGGCAAGGCAGGCAATGCTGGACCCCAAGCACCGGACACATCATCCAAGCCTCCAAGTTGGAGGGTTGCAGATGGCCCAAGGAGGACAGTCTGATAACCTGTTGGAGTAAGAGTAGATGGAGGCATATTTGTCATAGAGAAATGACTTCTGGAGGCTTCCACAAACCAGATACTTCAGTTGCAGATGGGTGAGGGAGCTGTGATGGTATGGTTTAGAAGGAGGAAAAGGAAGAGCATGTCTGGTTCAGGCCAAGGCACCCATTAACATGTGAGACCTAGACTTGGCTAAACAGCATTACTCACCACCCTGGATCTTGCACTGCCGGCGGTTCTGCAATCTAGCTTGATATGACTTGTACCCAGTCCCGGGTACAAGTGGATGCCAGTGGATGCTGAGGCCTAGCTCAATTGGCCCACATCCATTCAGGTATCTTACATGCCAGTGGGTCTGGCAGCCTAGCTCAGTGTATCTCATCCACAAACCCAGCCCACATTTCAGCTGAAAGGTGCTGCAACCTTGCCTGACTTGGCCTGCCCCAGTTCTAGCTCTCACACTTAACAGCAGAAGCAGTGGCCCATAAGTGCCTTATGTTCCCCAACCAAACCCAGGGGAATGCTGAAATGCTGGTCCCACCACCTTCCTCCATATCTTTACCATCCATGCCCTAATCAGAGGCCCAGATGGGCTTGCATCCTCTCAACTATGTAAATAATATTAAAAATAGAATTTAAAATAATAAGAATTTAGATGTACTAGGTGCCAGATAAAGCACTGGAGCTTTCCAGTTAACTGAAACCAAACTCAGGTAATTTTCCCTACACATACAGAAAATCAGCCTAAACTATTGTATTTAATTAGGCACCCAGGAATCAAATGGAACTTTCTGGTATTTGCTTACAAGAAGTTATAATTAACTATTTACTTGTATTTTTAGTGAGTTTCTCAAGAGCACAGACCAAATCTAATAGTCTTGACATGTTTAGATGCTAGCACAGCATGTCCTATCAAGTTGAGATTATTAAAATGGTCAAAGACAATACAATTTGAACAACAAAATCAATAAAGTGGCACTGGGTTTTAACCCAGAGTATAAAATATATATCCATAAGTTCACATTGGCATAAAGAAATGAATAAATGAGAGTAAAGAAGCAAATCTATTGTGTATAAAACTTTCCAGTACATTATGCCAACATTCTAATCTAAAGGATGTAGAAAAGAACTTCCCACTCCTTATATATATGATAGTAGTGTTTGAATAGGAGAAAAAAAGGCATGGCTTTTCAGTGAGGAATCCTGAAAATCTCTAGTTCAGGTAAGTGATCACACTGACAGAATGAGGTGAAAACGCACTTCATCTCTGCAATCTTCCCCACAGAAAGTTACCACTCCAGTCTGATTGTGAAAGAAAAGAAAGAAAAGAAAAAAAAAGAAAGGAAAACAAAAGACAGAAAGAAAAGAAAAGAAAGGAAAAGAAAAAGAAAGAAAAGAAAAAGGAAGAAAAGAAATCATCAGACCTATTCCACCATAAGCACCTTCCACAGTAGGCCTGGTCAGTATCACACTGCCAAGTGAGTCTGAAACAAAGTTGCAGAAACTTTCACACCCAAGAGTCTATAATAATATAACAACTAAAATACTAAGGTATGCTACATGGGAAACTGGAGCAGAAAAGAAACACCAGGGAGATCTAAGAAAATCAACATCAACGATGGACTTTACTTTGTAGTTGTGTATCAATATTGGTTCCTTAATTCTAACAAATATCATAATGAGATGTTAATAACAGTGGAAAGTACATAAGTTACAGGGGGTACATGGGCACTCTCATGTATCTGTTTAACTTTTCTATAAATCTAAAACTGTTCTAAAACAAGTCTACTGATATAAAAATTCACATGGAGGCAAAAAAAAAGCCTTTTTAGATAAAGTCTTCAAGACTCTTGCTTTTCCTATGGACATTTAAAAAGTCACAAGCAAAGAAATAACCAAAACAACGTTGGCCATTTTGGATGACAATTTCATGTGAGCGGTTCAGTAATAACGGGGCTATTTACTATGGTAAGCACAGCTCAGTATTAATTATTTTATCATCAGCTTAATAGCAATCCCGCTCTTGGGCGTGTCACAGAAGACTCAGTGTACCCCACATCCCACATGCTCCTCAGCATTTCCAGCTTCTGCTGCTATTAGGTTGGACCCATGTGGCCAGTTCTAGGTGTGAGTGAAAGTGATGCACGCCAAGCGGCTGAAGTCCTCGCCTTACCCACATCGGGATCCCATATGGAACCAGTTCTAATGCTAGGGGCCCTGCTTCCGGTCCAGCTCCCGGCTTGTGGCCTGGGAAAGCCTTGGGACTCTGCACCCGTGTGGGAGACCTGGAAGAGTCTCCAGGCTCCTGGCTTCAGACTGCCTCAGCTCCAGCTGTTGCAGCCGCTTGGGGATTGAATCATCAGATAGAAGATCTTCCTTTCTATCTCTCCTCCTCTCTGTATATCTGCCTTTCCAATAAAAAAAAATAATAATTTTTTTAAAGTATGTTCAAATCTCCTATTCTTCTGTCTGAACTGACCTTGGAGGGTTCCTGACACTCCAAATGCAGGTCAATAGATCTGAATAAGACCTTACCAGGGTGAGAAACTCAGAGTCTGGAATGGCGAAGGTGAGTCAGCCTACAGTATCGGGTGATTGCACGCAGCAAGCACATGCTCCTCCCCTCTGACAGAAAGCTGTCAATCCTAAAGTTCCTGCAAGCTGGAGCATCTCAGCATGCCCTACTTACCACAGGCGATGGTCCAATAGACCAGAGAGTCTGGGGTCTGGTACAGGATGCGGTACGGAGCGACCCGGGCACTGGAGTCCAATACGACGTCAAGGGTACCCACCAGGAGGCCTGAGGGGGAGAACAGAGGGATATCAGGTAAGATTTTCTTTGCAACTTTTCCAAAATCCCAGCATCAACGTGATTGGATCCCTTCTAAGGACCATCTGACAATCCCATCCTTCCTGTCGCTCTGCACCTTGATAAACTTCCGACTTTGACATGATGCTAATTCCATGTAACTTGTTACAATAACTTTTGTAAGAAACTGCCCAAGCTGAACTGGCTTCAACAAAATGGAAAGCTTAAAAAAAAAAAAAAAACCTGCCAACACAGTCTTTGGCATGTGTCTGCATTTCCGAATGTCTGTTTCAAATAAAGATCAGCAAGTAAGTGGGCACTTACATGCTGGGGTCTCTGCTGTAACTCCATTATCCAGACAGGTAACGTTTTTCTCTCACTATGAAACAAGCCCTTAAGAGCTGGACAAGGCCACAGGAGACCATCATGAACCTGATGCTCCACATATTAATTTGCTCCTCTTTCCTTTTGTGTTGAAACATAAGGTACAAGTCAGCAGAGTGACTGCTAATCAACGTCCTACTAGGTGCCAGCACAGCATGGATTTAAAGTCGCCAGGGAATCTGTTATCAAAGGAGACAGCCGAGCAACGTTTTCATACTGTCTTCAGGAGTAAACAAGAATCGTGCAACAGAAGGGTGTCCTGTTGCACAGGATCCTTAGCCATTTGTGACATTCATCACTCCAGTCAGGGACACTGGAGCCCAGTCAGTACCCTGCAGTGACACATGATGAGGCCCAGGGCCAGGCTATGCACTGTGGGTGCACAAAGTTGAGTTCTTCAGGTCAGGGACCTGAAAGACCCTCTTCCTGTAGCTGACAAGACCCGCGGGAAACTTGCTCACATCATCCAAGTCCAGAAGCTGCAGACTGCCCAGCAAGGGAAATCAGTGAGTTATTTGTGAGAAATATAAATGCACACTAGACTGATGCTCGCTTCAGAAGAGGCAGTGCCCTCTCTCTCTAGGAGGGAAGTTGACAAGAAGTAGGAAATCAGCAGCAGAAGGCATCGCAGCAGCCAAAGCCAGAGTGCCTGTGAGCAGCCTGCCCAGAATCCTTCCAGAATCCTTCCAGAATCCTTCCGTGGAGGCAGCCCAAGGAGTGCAGGCGGGGCCCAACCCCGCCGCTCAAGCACCAATCCTTCCTCAGTCTTCCAAGCTGTCAGGTACAATGTCAACAGCAAAAGGATCCTGAGAGCTTCAAACAGGGAGGCTGTTGTCAGCACAGATTTCTCTTTCAACCACCAGTGCTCCCAGTAGAGGCCTGTGCTCCTCCATCCACACTGAGCAGGAATTTGTGCCCTGTGGTACTGTAAAAGAGCCTGACGGGTCACTATCCTTCATGCACATAGAAGACCCGGGTGAAACTCCTGGTTCTTCAGCCCTGACTGCTGAGGCCGCTTTAGGGGGTAAACCAACAGAAGAAAGATCTCTTTCTGTCTTCCTCCTTCCTCTTTCTTTGTAATTATTTCAAATAAATAAAATAAACCCTTAAAAATGATTACACACACAGATTTTCCAATATACACAGAATGAATCTTTTAAAAAAAAGTAAAAATTACAAAGGAATTCCCAGGTAGGCTGCGCTCACTGAGCCAGGAAAACGGACACACACAGTCCTAGGGCTGGAACTTTCTACTCCTGGCCCTGTCACTTCCCAACTCCCAGACCCAGCCCCTCAGAGTCTGAGCTTCTCCATCCACCCTGGCCCAGTCAACATGGGTACTCTGTAACACAAAGATGTAAGATCCCCTGGGAAAGTCCAACCCAAGCCATATATCTTGAGCACTACAAATATCCCCAATTAAAATCCACCCTCAGCATTCCTTATCCAACGAACCACTGGTATCAGAGATAAGGAAAATTAGGGAATAAAGTAGACCCCAAGCCTCAGAGTAAGGGCTTCTGATTGAGACGCCTGCTCACTGGTCCCAAGCACACATTCACAACTGGGATCATTAACTTTTACTAAGATTTAAATGAAAACTATGAGATATACGGACATATATGAAAAAGTTTGTGGGGAAAAAATGATGTTAAAAACTGAATGAAATTTCTCTGAAAATTACATAATGAAAGGAACTGATTCTCCAAATCGAAAGCAATATTGTGAACTGATACATAAGCAAGGCAGTCAAACGCATAAATAAATGCACCCCACACTAATCTGAAGTGCTGAGCTCTGTCATCCCTTTGTCACAGGGATCAGGATCTTCCCTCCATGTGGGACAGTGATCACCCCTAACTGCTGAACACGACCTCTTTCTGACTCTAGTCTTTCCCTCAGTTCCACTTCTTTGCTGCTTATTCCACTCCTTTGCAATTCCTTGCACTGCCTGGGTCATCCCAACTTTTCCCTCCAGACTGGCAGGCCCCTGAGGACAGGGTCTGATTCTTTCCAACTCAAAGGCCCTGTGGTTTGCCTGGAACCCAGTAAGCACTGGATGGACAGGCAAAGCAGGTGTTTTAAAAAATCTGAATAACCAATTATCACTGCTGTCTAAATGCTGTTGACACAAACAGCCAAGATTCTGGGAAGCAGAAAATACCTCTTCCTTATCCTCCATCCATGAAGAATGTAAGACAGGAAATCTGGACTAGAGAATCCTCAGCCCCTACTGAACAGCAGTGCTCCGGATTTTCTCAGAATCTTATTCCTCATCCTTCTGCAGTGGCTGTCCAAATACTGAATCGTCTCATCATCTCCCACACAAAAGTGCTGCTTCAACAGCTGCTCGAAGACAGCTATTTCTGATGTGCAACAATCTTGGATCACTGGAGATAACTAAATGAAATTATGGCCCTCAGAATAACTCTTTCCTGTGTCTATCTATCTACTTTTTACATTAGTTCAGGAGTAGCAGCTGAGTGTTGCTTTCAAGGAGGCTCAGACAGCCCTTGGCAGAACCGGCGTCCCTGGGCTTCCACGTGAGCAGACAGACATAGAGGGTTCATGAGACATGAGGCAGCCACTCCTGACCCACAGCATTGGTGGCATGGGCTGGTGCCAGAGACAGCAAAGTGTCAGGAGGGGCTGGGCACACAGCTCTGTGCTCAGGAGAGTGATGCTACACTCAGTGAGCCTGGATGGTCTCTTGCTAAAGTGGACAGGATCTCCAGTTCACTCCGCCTCCCCCATTCCCCCAGCTATGATTCAGTGAGAGAAGAGGAGATCTACCAAGTTCATGGCAGGATGGGAAGGGGCCATGGGCCCAGCCTGGCTCATGCACTGGCTGCTTTCTGACAGGAAATAACAGCATCTATCCCCAGGGAACACCTGGCTTATGCCGCGCATGGCAGCGGAAATAATTCCAAACCACAGAGATGTCTAAGAGATGACAAAACTCATGAGCATTCCATACGTAATAGATGAAATTAAGGGATTGGTCATGTTGGTGCCAAGTAAACTGAGATCCATGCACAGGTTTTTGTTGTTTTCTTTTGCAATTACATGTATTTTCCATGAACTTTTGAAGATTCAGTCTTCAGGTACAATCATTCTGCCTTATCCTCTCCATACCCAATCTTCAAATGAAAGGCAACAGAAGAGAAAGCAGAAAGCTCCTTTCATTTCATATTTCCTTAATAGAATCTCTACTAACTATGTTCCAATTGTTTCATATTCTTTCTACCCATATGCTTTTCTTTTTTAAAGAAGGTTGTTCTTTTTTAAAATTTTAGATACTGGTTTGTCTGTTTGTTTGAAAGGCAGTTACAGAGTTACAGTTACAGAGTCTGATCCCCAAATGGCCTTAATGGCTAAGACCAGGCCAAGAAAAAGGAAAGAAAACTCCTGAAACCTGGAAGCCCAGCCTGGTCTCCCACATGCATGGCAAATGTCCAAACACTCGGGCCATCCTCTGCTGCTCTGCCAGGTGCATTAGCAGAGAGATGGACTGGAAGTGGAGCAGACAGAACTCAAACTAGCACCCGTAAGGCGTGCTGGCTTTCGGGCACACCTTACTTGGTGGTGCTGCAATGGCAGCCCCTTCCCCACATCCTTACACTTCTGTTGCCTGACATGTTTGCACAAGCCAACTTAACACCAATGAGTCTTCTATTATTTGTGTCAAATATAAAGAATAAACACACTTGCACAATCTGTTTTCACCCAATAATATACATTATTTACCCTGGTCATACTTAGAAATCTGATTCCTTAATTTTATGTTATACAACACAGGGTTTGGGGGAGCTTTTTTTCCCCCAAAATGCTTGGAACCAGAGTGCTTCCGATTTCAGATTCAGGAATTTGGAATGTCTTTACATTTCACTGGGCTAGCATCCCTACTTGGAAATGTGAAAGCAGGCAAGTTACATCTCAGATTCTGGAGCATCTTGGATTTAGCATTTCTGCTTTAGGGCTGCTCAGCCTTCATTCTGCTGTGTGCATATACCATAATGTATCCACGCTCAGGAACCTTTCAGCATCTAAGTGCATTTCTTTAGAATGGAGATGCTGGGAAACAGGCTAAGTGTTGTTCCGGTCTCACCATGAAGGGATGAGAATATCTCTCCTGCTGTAACATCTCCAACATTTAGCATCATCTCATTTAAAAATTTTTTTAAATATCTCTTCATTTACTTACTTTTTTATGTTACCTAAAAGGAGCAGATTTCACATTTTTCACCACACTAATTTAGAAGCGTAAGAGTTCCTCCCCTCCTCCTTACTTTTTCCAAGTTATTATACTAGCATATTCATTCACTTCACAGTAGTAAGCTTAATTTTTGGATATGCTAAGGAATTATGCCATAGCTGTTGGCCATCTAGGTTTCCTTTGCTGTAAATTACTTGTCTTAGCTCCTGCACTGGCATTCACTGCCAGGCTCAGTTGGACATTCAGAATTTACAATCTGAGCAATTTCACTAATACAGACCCAGAATTTTGATTCATTTCAGCAACCATTTGCTGATGACTGCAAAGCCAGAGCAGCAGCATCCTAGGATTTGCTTTTCTATCTTACCTGTAGGTCTCTAACTGGTATTTG